AAAATTTATGATATGTTATTAAATTAAGAAATATTTTTAATATTCTGAATTTTATTATATTTCAGAAAGCATCTTCAAGCGTAAGGTTTAGTACCTAAAAATTAATAAAATATTATATAATTGCCTAACGTATTTTATTAATGTTAAAAAAATTACCTGGTAGTTAAAAAACAGTAACAACACCGTTTTTACTTAGAATTCGTAAATTTATATAATTTCTGGCCTACCATACTAAACATGTCAACGCCTTCGGCCATCAAATTATCGATAGAGACGTGAGAAAAACAAGAGCCCGTGGTCAAGAAATGCTTGTATAGAATATTTATACTATAATTAAGTAATATTTGTTTCAGAACAGATTAATTTAAATTTGTTAATTTTACGAAAATAACGTTTCAGAAATATATACTTTATTTTTGCAAGATTTTTAAAACCGAGAATTAAATTTATTTTACAATCTATCTAAAAAATTAAAAATGACCGTTTCGATTGTTTTTTTTTTTTTTGTTTTTTTTTTCTAAAAAAAATGAATCGACTAAGAATCATTCTAATTTCTATTTGAAATGCACCGCAGTATTTTGCTTTCTGGAATTAGAAAAAAAATAATCCTTTAACTTTCATTTGAGGCTAAAAAGGAACCTTCAAGAAAGTTTTTTTTTTTCATTTTTGAAAATACATTTAAATCTTAGGTATACCAAATTATTGGAGGTACCTACTTCTAAGTCTATGCTCTTCTTCGGCTGCTTCAACGTTTCTTCTTACATAACTCTCCCCTCGTGATATTCGCGTATAATTCCCGCCTCTCTGCGTCAAGACGTCTTCACAGCGTCCAGGCTCCAATCCAGGCGACTCCTTGCAGTGAAATGACCAAACTGCGAAATGTGCTAACCCCACGCAGTTAATCTCCGATCGTCCGATTCTTAACCCCGATTCATACCCGAACAAATCCAGGAGGCCGACGCTAAACTACAAATACTTCCCTTCTTATGTTTCCCCCTATAAAAGAAACACACACTAGGCGGTTTTTTTTTCTTCTCCCTCTGAGCGTTGGAGCCAAACGTCTTAGTTCTCTCACCAACGCGTTGAAAAAGAAATTGGAATCACACCCTAACTTGCAACCATAAGAAATGATTTCATTCATTGTTTCGCCACGTGATGTTAACATCACTTGTCTCCCTGGGTAAGATTTGCCCTGGTCTCTTAAAATAAATAACCCACTTATTTAAAGTTTTCTTAACACTCATTAGCATAATATTCATATGCGTTTCGGTTTAAGAAAAATCTTCACTATGACACATGTCTATTCGCGTGTTGTCGAATTTCCAAACTGCCTAGCGTGTAAGACAATTAGACTTTTACGTCCGAATAGAGTCGTGGAAAATAACAAGTTTATTTTAGTTACATGGAACCCCTCGTAATTCGTACTTTTTTTTCTTGCCTGTGAAAACAGCATGTTTCTGCTACAAAGCCAAAATCTATCAGTAGCTGAACTCCTAGAAGGAATGTGCTTGGAGCGTAATGGTTATTGGCGCTGCAATTAGTGTTCGGCCGAGGTGAGTTCAATTTCCAGCCGACGCCATTGCGTTCAGTTTCGTTCAAATGCCTTTCGAGAAATGTATAAATAGGGGTTAATAGGATGCCGAATAGTATTCCAGCAAAACTGGAAAAGCTTTTACAGACAACGTGTTACGTTTCTGTCATCCTCGAGTTTAATGAGTGACAAACACCATGTGCAGGGAAATTGCGTCTACATCCCTAACTACCCAGTGGGGTTGCTCTCCCTCGACTGGGGAGCCGTTTCAGACACGAAAGAGACAACGCATAAACTTGCATTCTGACTTTTTTTTAAGGCATTTCACCCCAAGCAAGACTTGAGTGCCACTAGCACGCAAGGGGTTACAGAGTATTGAGAACAAGAGTAAAGAGGCGTGTTTGAGGAAAATATACAGAGAAGGACGGGGAACAAGCTCAGATGTTCATTGACATTACTTTTGAATATTTGAAGATTATAGTCATTGGGGAAGCAAATAAGGGGAAGGGACTTACATAGACGGGAAGTGTGGGGGGAAAAGATGTTTGAGAAGAAGAGACGGTTCCATTTAACCGTTTTGACAGTGCAAGGGTGGGACCAAGATGCCAGCCTGGTAGCACGTTTAAATTCATGTAGTCCGGGAACCAGCGGAAGTAGCTTGTCGGAACAGTTGCCGTGAAAATATTTGTAGAAGAGACAGAGGGAAGCCACAGCACGTCTTTAGGATAGCGATTGTAGACTAGATGCCAGATCAAGACCTAGCATATTGCATATTCGTCTCTGGATTTTGTCAAGGACCTCGAGACGTACAGAGGGAGCACCAGACCACATATGACTGCAATGTTCCATGCAAGGACGGATGGTTGATTTATAGATTTGAAGGATGTACTCAGATAAGAAAAACTTTCTGGCCCGACAGAGAGACAACTTTCCTTGCGATAGATGAAGCTATTGATTCAATGTATTTATTCCACCTTATGTCAGTGGACAGTGTGAGGCCAAACAGGCGTAACGAGGCGTTCTGAAGGAGTTGAGAATCAGTCATTCTGATGGGAAGCAGGAAGGGATCTCTATAGTGGGTAGAATTAGTCTTTTCTTCTAACGTAGTTTGATTTCAGAGCATTCCTTCTCTTAAATTGGTTGCCAGCTCAAGACTTGTGACCACACTTTACCCTGAGTCTTTTCTTCTAACGTAGCTTGATTTCAGAGCTTTCCTTCTCTTAAATTGGTTGCCAGCTCAAGACTAGTGACCCCACTTTGCCCTGATATTTAACCCATACCTGGAGGAAGATGAGCCCATGTCTTTTCTAACATCATTAACGCTAATTCAACGGTGAATTCACTTTCCACGCCGATAAACATTGCACTATTCAGGCTTTGTGTTATTTGGCAGAAAACTACAATTAATAGCGAACTTTATTTTCAAGAAACCACTTATTAATACTGAGAATTTTTTTAAATACCTGTAATTAATGCTGGTCTTCATTTTAGAAACCTACAATGGCTGATTACAGTCAATGCCTCGAAGACCAACATAGTTACGTTGCATCATCACCAATCTGACTCCGAGCTTGCATCAATCAGGATGAACGGAGATCCCCTCGGGGTGGTGGGGGTTGGTCACCTTGTTTTGAAAGACTTTTGTGCCTCAAACACTCACCTGACCTCAAGTGCAACTCGTAAATACGATCCATTGCTAAGGATGTAGGTAAAATGTTCTCCCCCCTGTGCCGCTGCAGTAAGTACCTGACTCCTACTGCTAGCCTCTACCTTTACAAGAGCCAGATCAGGCCAATAATGCAGTACAGTTGTCATATTTGGGCAGGGGCTGCCAAGACCTCACTCTAATACATTGAGAAAGTTCAAAATCGTATTTGAGCTCTTTTGGGTGACGAATTATTCTCCACCCTTCAACCCCCTCGCGTACAGGCGGAATGTAGCAAGCCTCACGCTTCTCTACCGCTACTTTAATGGAAAGTGTTCGGACAAACTATATTCCCTAGTCCCGCCAAGGAAAACCGTCATGGCAAAAACACGCTATGCCACTTACATAGAAGTGAACCACTCACATCCCTTCCATATTACATCGGTAAGAAGTAAATTCCACTCAAACATCTTCGTCCCGCGAACCACTGCCCTGTGGAACCGACTCCAAACAGGATGTTTCCCTGATTACTACAATCTTAACCTATTCTTGGCTACAGTTAATCGTTATCTCCCTCACAAATATACACACAAATGACCTCGTAACGTAATCCTCTACCTCGAGTTGGCACCGGGCCTTGTAAATAGTGACACTTACTATATAAAAAAAATACTATGCATTTAAAAACAATCTATAATACTTAATTATAAAATTTATAATTTTTAGAAATCTATATAGCATACTGTTTTTTATTTGTTTTGTTTTTTGGGTTTTTTTGTTACATATAATGAACACAGGCTTTTTTTTTTAGAAACATATCATGAACAAATACGTTTTTGTAGAAACATAATTATAACAGATGGTTGTTTTTAGAAAAACGTAATTAAAATAGGCCTTATCTTTAGAAAAATATAATTAAAACAGCCTTTTTTTAAAAAAAATATAATGAAAAAGACGTTTTTGTTAGAAACATAATTAAAATAGACTTTTTTAGAAACATATAATGAAAGAAAGACGTTTTTTGGAAACATATAATGAAAAAATAACGTTTTTTGGAAACATAATTAAAACAGACGTGTTTTTTAGAAACATATAAATAAAATAGACGTTTTTTTAGAAACATATAATTAAAATAGACGTTTTTTTAGAAACATATAATTAAAATAAGCGTTTTTAAAAAACATATAATTAAAACAGACGTGTTTTTAGAAACATATAATTAAAATAGACGTTTTTTAGAAACATATAATTAAAATGGACGATTTTTAGAAACATATAATTAAAATAGACGTTTTTTTAGAAACATAATTAAAACAGACGTTTTTTTTAGAAAATAGACGTTTTTTAGAAACATATAATTAAAACAGACGTTTTTTTTAGAAACATATATTTAAAATAGACGTTTTTTAGAAATATATAATTAAAACAGACTTGTTTTTTAGAAAAATATAATTAAAATAGACGTTATTTAGAAATATATAATTAGAACTGACGTGTCTTTTTAGAAACATATTATTAAAACAGATTTGTTTTTAAAAGAAATGTTTAATTGGTACAATTGGCAGTCAATCATTATTTAACATTTTTAGAAATAAAATACTGGACATATTTTTTTTTACAAATCGTTAATTAACAATAGACACTTTTTTTAAAATTATGTTTTTATTAGTAGAGTTCCTTTTTTTTTCAAACCTATAAGTAATACTTAACTTTTATAAAGAAGCTATAATTTACAATACATATTTTTAGAAACCTATAATTTACATTGGATATTTTAGACGCTTATGAGTAATACTGGACATTTTTTTAGGAAACTCAGTGGCTTACAGCCACACCACGTTCAATAACCTTATCCTGTATGATCACCAAAGTTAAGCAACGTAGTGTCTGGTCAGTAACCAGATGGGTGACCCCTTGGGAAAACCAGATGTTGTAAGCTTGGATTTGCAGGTGGTTTAATTGTTAATCGGAGAGCCGATTTCCAATTCCAGCTGGGTTCGTTATATTATGGATTAATTAGTAACACCGCTTCTTCCCCCAACTATGGGTTAATTAATATCACTAAGCTTTTAATATCTGATTAAAAAGAAATCGTGCAATTTAAAAAAACATTGTTTGGTTTTAAATAATCAACAAAGGATTGATAAGTCGTAGAAAACGAATCAATACAAAAATAAACTATAAAACATACCGGGCTTTTTTTTAGAAATCAATAATTAAGACTGTTTTTTTGTTTTTTTTAAGAGACCTGTAATTTACACCCAATATTTATTTTAATCTTTCATGGACCTATAAAACTGGTGATTTTATAGAAAATATAATTAATACTGGAGAATTTATGAACCTAAAACATTGTACATTTTGTAGAAATTGCAGGGTGCTAAATAGTTGTCTTAATGATACAAAAATGAAAATAACACTAACATCTCATTTTAACAGATATATTTATCAAAATTACGCAAAAATATATTGAAATACTAAAGAGTAAGTTCTTTCAATAAAATCACCATTGGCTTTAACCACGGGCTCCAGATGACTTCGGAATCTCCTATACCTCTTTTGGGTGGTCTTCTTGATTAATTTGGTGAATGCTACTCTAATCTTTGTCTTCAATTCATCTTTGGTATTACAAGGAGATTTGTTTGCCTCTTCCTCAACTAAGCCCCACACATAACAATCAAAGGGGCTGCAGTCTGAGGAGTTAGGCGACCAGATATAAGCGGTGATGCGGTCGCAGAAATTGTCTGACATCCATGACTGGGTTCTCTTGCTTGTATGGCATGGTGCAAAGTTCTGATGCCAGAAGGCACCATCTTAACTCACGGCAGCACTACCTCCTGAAGGCACTTGATTTAGGTCTCCATGCTGAATCTGAGGCCCTGTGGGAAGATGAAGGAAGGTACAAGATCGCCAGCAATGGTTATCACTCCGTAACACTTTCGTCATCATCATTAGACTCATCCAACTGTTTCCAAATCCTCTACACTGTCCTCAGATTGACATCCAAATACTCTGAAATGTTCATATTGGAGTTTCTCAAATAAATTATCCAAAAAGTCTGAATCTGAAACGAAATTATCCAAGATTGTGATTTCTCAATTAAATGATCCCAAAAGTGTCACTGCTTAAAGAAATGATCCATAAATTTGATTTCTAAGATGAATAATAAAAAATATGATTTTTCAGGGCGAATCGTTCGTAAAATGTGATTTCTCAATTAAATGATCCCAGAGGAAATGATCCACAAATTGTATTTCCAAAGTGAATAATAAAACAATGTGGTTTTCTCTATTAAATGATCTCAAAAATGTAACTCCTAAAAGAAATTACCCCAAAGATATGATTTCTCTATTAAGAAGTTTGAACTTACCTGAAGGAATGCGTAAGGAATAATTTCGTGTTTAAAAACGAGCAGTAAAATTGATGAAATATCTTTCTATTTGAATTTCTGAGTGTAGATTTTCTGTTGTAGAGTAGTTTTCACAGTGGAGACTTGTATTTCGCTAAGTCGGTCCTAAAAAGGGTCCGACGTACAAAACGTTAGGAACTTGAAATACGCAGCAATCTAGTTGTGAGGGTTGATACTTCAATGGGTCACATCGACTGACTCGCTCAACTCCACTGAGCCCAACCGGCGACCGCTACTACTACTACTACTACTTATTATGTGTGGGAGAGTCTATTATTAATAGAATAGGTACGTTCAGGTATGACACTTTGTTACTGTGGGACAACGATTCTTTCGTTCTCCTTCCTTCCTAATTCCTGGAGGAAGCAATCCGGATAGAAAATGACTATAATCTATTGTTGAAACACGTCATTTCTAAATGTGACAACATTTAACGATTCAAAACTTTAAAGATTATTTTTTGTCTGGAATAAATATATTTTACAAACTCTCAAATATGCGTTCTATGGAGTGGGAAGAATATGCAAAGCGAATTAACATTTGTAGATTTCAGAACTTGGACTACTTTCTTTCTTTACTCTGTTTAAATGCAAAATGTTGATTTTATGCGGTTTAAATTCAAAATGTCGATTTTACGCGGTTTAAGTGCAAAATGTTGCTTTTATGCAGTTTGAATGCAAAACGTCGATTTTACATTGTTTAAATGCAAAATATCGATTTTACGTTGATTATATACAAAGCTCTGAAATCGAAGTACATTAGAATAAAGGACTCAGAGTAAAGTGGGGTCACTAGTCTTAAGATGGCAACCACTTTAAGAGAAGGAAAGCTCTGAAATCGAAGGACGTTAGAAGAAAGGACACAGAGTAATGTGGGGTCACTAGTCTTGAGATGGCAACCAATTTAAAAGAAGGAAATCTCTGAAATCGAAGTACGTTAGAAGAAAGGACTAACTCTTAGAAGTCAGAATGCAAGTTCTCATCCGATCAGCGATGATGGAATGTAACTATTAGGGATGAATCTGATCGTATATCATTCCATATGCAGACTATTCCCTTTCACATTGTTGGTGATCATGGATTATTTCTACACGGAAAACCCATCCTATAAGCAAATTCTACATAGATGAGATCAGTAAAGTGTACATTTTTCTTTTCTAAAAATGTTTAATAAAAACTGAATTTTATCATCCCACCTTAGACAATGTGATAATGCCACTCGGATGCGAGAGGTTACTAGGAGTGAAAGAGAATGAGAAAACATGTAATGAGGATAAGTGAAGAGAATGAACAATAAAAGAGCAGGGTTCGGGAAGACAGAAGATGGCGATTGGCGTTGCATTTAAATCTTTGAATATCGTAGTTGGTATCGAAGCAAAAAATCGAAAAGAGTTCCACAGGCAAGAAGTGTAAGAAATTTTTTTTTTCGAATAGAGCATACGGTTGTATCTTATTAGTTTAGAAGAAAAATATTGAGACCTAACTGCCAATCTAGTAGCACGCTTAAATACATGCAGTAAAGAAAGAAGATTATCAGAACAATTACCATGAAAATATTTGTATTAAATCGTGTTTTTTTATTTGACAGACACAGAAAGAACTCTCCATATAAACCTGAATAAAGTACTTTAGGAAAAAGAGGATGAAAGCAATAAACTTCAATTATAAGAAAACAGAATGAATGGACGTTAGCAAAATGAAGCAGTCAAAGTTGCGAGATACAAATCAAGACAGATTAACAATGAAATTTTGTAACATATGATAGAAAACATGTCACAGAAATCCGAACATTCATTGGAATAGCGAAAGATGCCTTCCAAAATCTAAACAACGTGTTATGAAACACGAGAGTTTCGTTGAAAACAAAGAAAAGAGTGCCGATCTGCCACGAGATATCAATCCTTCAAAATGACTGTGAATGCTTGGCAAGTTTCTGACAGTTCCAGAGACTTGAATCAACAGAGATTTGGTTCTATTAATGAATGCTGAGAATATCAGGGACAAAAGTTCCTAAGCAGTTTTAAAGAAAAAAAGTTTCCACTGAATCTAAATCTGCAGTCTTCGACCCCAGATGTTAAATTTACAGTTGCCATGACAGGAGTTTCACGAACCAATGTTTCAATCCTCTAAGCTGTTGCCTCGTGAAGTAGCGACAGCGTGGAAACAACGCAGAGATAACTGAGCAGTTCTAAAAGTAACACGAGATATCCCGAGACATGGCCAGCAGAACGAGAACAATCTACTCCCGTAGATTAAGTTCGAAATTCCTGAACGTTATCCAGTTCGACAGACACTTGAAAGGTCGCAGGGCACAATGGTAAATATTTTATAATAAGAACAACAAAGATGAGGAGAATCGTTCGAAATGCTGTGTTAACAACAGCAAAAAATTCGATGAATGGTTGCTAATGTTCAAATTTTGTGTATCGTTATGATGTCTCTGAAGTTAAAGATAAGCTTTCTTCCATTTCTTATTTAGTTTCATTGTATGGGCACATGAACAAAACAATGTATCAACATTCTTCACCAAGTGTTCAAAGAACTCCGCAAAAAAGTTTATGAAAAGTTAAGCAACGTCGAGACTGATTAGTATCTAGATGGGTGACCACTTGCGAATACCAAATGCTATAAACTTAGATGTGCGGGTAGTGTAATGGATAATGGCTCAGAATTTTAAATAGGAGAGCCGAGTTCCAACTGACGTTGGGTTCGTTATATCCACTTTACACGCAAATATCCTTGGGGAAGGTATTATGGATTAATTAGTAAAACTATTATCTTTAAAAAATCGTGTAGCTTAAATATTATTTTCTGACTTTAAATATCCTGAAAAGGGTTGATAAGCCATAAAAAATTTTCAGTCTGTTCCTCCCAGACTTTAAAACATTGCTAGGCAATGGACCAGGCTCCTATTTGGTTCCCAAAGATTGTTGTCTTTTCACTTTTATGCGCGACTTTTGTCTAGTTCCCGAAATTCAAATTGGTACGAAGCCAATTTTTATTCGCACCTGATAAGTCAGCGGGAACCGAGAATAAATACCTTTTAAACTAAAGATTGTTTCTTTTGTAAATATCCGGAACACTTTTTCTGAGTCTACATCCGTTTGAGAACGAACTGAATGCCCTTGTCAGAAAGAAGCTCAGATCGGGGGAGTAGGTCAGTCTAACATCTCTTGACTTTCTTTGACTCCTTCCGCAATTTAGATTGAATCACTTCATTGGGGGTTCCTGCTGTCGCTTTTAAATAAGCTATTAATGAAGGCAAGAGGAGAAAGAGAGATAAGGGGGCAGTTTGAGAATAAGGCCCTGCTTGTTTCAAGTAGACATTGGTAATATTAGTGCAGAAAATGGCTTGTCACTTGCCCGATAACTTGAAACGGAATTTTTAAAAAATAATAATTGCTATTATTGTTATTATTATTATTATTATTATCATCATCATCATTATTATTATTTTTCATTATTATTATCATCATCATCATCATCATTATTATCATCATCATTATTATTATTATTATCATCATTATTA